TGCAGTAACATCCACGCGACGTTTTGTTATAAATACACCGCTGCTAACCACCCACACCCACCACCCACATCGCCGCTTCACGGCCAACAACCAGTGACGATTATCTGAACCCGTCCTGGGCCTCCCCTAGGTCGACTCAGCCTCACATGAGTACCTGGTGCGACTAGGGAGACAAAGGCGGCCGGGCGTGGTGTTGGCCACCGAAACTCCCTCGTGTGCTGTGCCGGCCTTCGTAGGTGCTCGCTAACAGCACTTGCCCCTACAGTCTGTTACAGGCTACACGGGGTATCTTTGTCTTTGCTGGTCCCCGCAGCAATGTGTTTGCCACTCACCATTCCGATGGCCGGGGTCTGTCCGCTCGGATCGCTCCGCTTGCTGCTGCTGCTGTTGTTGCTGCTGCTGTTGTTGTTGTTGCTGCTGTTGTTGTTGTTGTTGCTGCTGCTGCTGTTGCTGCTGTTGTTGCTGCTGTTGCTGTTCTTGTTGTTGTTGCTGCTGCTGTTGTTGTTGTTGCTGTTGCTGCTGTTGCTGCTGTTGTTGCTGCTGTTGCTGTTCTTGTTGTTGTTGCTGCTGTTGTTGCTGCTGCTACTGCGCTGAGTGAGCTTAGGAGCCGCCCTTAGCCCGGGGAAGTCCTCCACTTGGACGCATGCCGGCCTCTACCACTCGGCGTGACGGGGTGGGGGGTGACGGGGGGTGGGTGCAACTGATGTTCGACGGGGGAGGAAGGTGTTTTTTGTTGCAGCTGATCCAGACGAATTAATATTCTACAATTGCTGTTCGTATACTAGAGCAAGACGTGTTTAGAGCGAAATTAAACTTACAAAAAGTACAGAATCTGAGACTCACCCCCTTGACCCCGTGAGAGTGATGGGACATTCCGCCCCCCCACACACCTGGAGCAGGATCGAGTGGCTCAACATTTTTGGTTGGGCGATGCCGGAAGCCACCTCCGTATAAGGGGCCGACCCTAAATGACGTCACGCACCTAGGGGGTGGGGGGGGGGTCAAACATTTGTGACGATGTGTGACGAAGGGGGGGGGGGGGTGAGAAATATGACGTCACATCAAAATTCGCAACTTTAAATAAATATAGACAACACGTTCTACTTAATTAAATAGACTTTTTTAAATAAACAATGACAATAGTTTAAAGCGATTTGAAGCATGTTTTGTTTTCAAAATGGAAATATGGTTTTGGGGGGGGGGGGCAGAGCTTTGTGACGTCATATTTGAGGGGGGGTCAGACATTTGTGACGATGTGTGACGAGGGGGGGGGTAAATGTGACGTCACATCAAATTACGCAACTTTAAATCAATAAAGACAACACGTTCTACTTAATTAAATAGACTTTTTAATAAATGTTTTCTCCCGCAACATCAGGAGTGCAGCGCCACATTAAATACGCACTACAATGTCAATAGTTTAAAGCGATTTGAAGCATGTTTTGTTTTCAAAATGGAAATATGGTTTTGGGGGGGGGGGCAGAGCTTTGTGACGTCATATTTGAGGGGGGGGGTCTGACTTTTTGTGACGTCACGTGTGACGAGGGGGGGGGTCAAAAATCGTACAAAATCGCGTGACGTCATTTATGGACTGACCCTAAACTCTATCGATACTATTATTACCCTTGGTGACTCGTTCATTCCTTACTATATACAGACTACAGAGTAAACCACTATCATGGGACCTCTTTGCCACTATCAAAGTATGAAAAATAAGAATATGTTTTACCCGTTTTGGTAACACGACAGCGGGTATTGTTGTGCAACATGTTAAGTTTTACGCTGAACTTAGAGCAAAGTGACAGAAACAAGCAAGCAGAGGAATTGTCTTCTTGGTTCTTTCGGTAAAGTCACGTAGAAGGAAAATAATAAATAATAAAAAAAAACATTAAATAATTCTCACGACGTTTCGGCCACAACGCAAGCAGCCGTCTTCAGACCTGTTCTTCACCTGAAGACGGCTGCTTGCGTTGTGGCCGAAACGTCGTGATAATTATTTTATTATGTTTTATTTTTATTATTTTATTATTTTCCTTCTACGTGACTTTACCGAAAGAACCAAGAAGATGAATCCCTGCAGTCACGAAAGCTTTAAATCAGAGGAATTGTGTTCAGCAGTGCAGAGTGGCTCCATTTGATTGTATCGCCTTCAGGTCGGGAAGTCCCTATACCCCTTAGCGCTGCGAGTCCCGTTGTCGGCAATGGGGATGGGGTATAGGGACTTCGCGCCCATGCGTGAGGGGTTATACACCCCGCCCCTTTGTAAAGGGCTATCAGAGCCAATCACAGTGCCGCTTCCTCAGCCGGTGAATCCCTCCGGGCCAATCAGCGCGCTCGTTGGTGGAGATAACTTTCGCGGCGGCGACAACGATGGCAGCCGCGGGCGCGCCTCGGCTCTCGCCGATTCCTCTCCGCGGGAGCCGCGTCCCGTGGCTCGGCGAGCAGAGCGCGGCTCGGGGAGACGGCGTCAAGGACGCGGCTCCTCGCGATGGAGCGAGGAGCACGGCTCAGAGGGGAGGCGCCGGGGCGGAAAGGCTTCGACGGGTACGGCAAGGCCGCACGGTCGCCATGGGAACGCGGGTTTCTTGGGTTTCTTGACGCAATCTTAAATGTGCATTGAAAATTATAATTCTTCGTATTCTTAGGTTTTTTTTCGGTAAAGTTTACCGAAAAAAAAACCTAAGAATATGATTCCTTGCAGTCACGAAAGCTTCAAATCTAGAATATAATTATTCGACTGATGCTCCTGCTGTTGTGGAGTGACTCATGCAGCCAGCTGTGGCTGCAGGGTTTTGGTAGTACATGTTGTTTATGCCATTTATTGTGAAATTTCGTCACAGTTCCTATGATTGCTTTTTCATTGCTTTCATGGCTTTATTTTGGTGATTTCGAAAAGTGTATTGGTTTAGCCATGTTTGTTTGTTGTAGTACAGAGTTAGATTGATGGCCTTAATCTAAGTTGTCTTGTGGTTGTTGTTGTTTGTGTTGCTGTAGTACAGAGTTAGACTGATGGCCTTAATCTAAGTTGTCTTGTGGTTGTTGTTGTTGTTGTTTGACTTGCATCCCACTGGGATTTTTGCACACAGCGTTGGTGTACGGTGTTTTTTCTGCAATATTTTGCTGTCTTTTCTTGGATTTTGAGTTTACACTTAGTCAGATATTCACTTTAAGATGTTTTCTTGTTTTTTGTTTGTTGCGGTTGCACCCGAATCAAGAGCCGAATGGCTCACAGGGCTATATACCTAATACATGAACTTGAACGCAGCTGCCGTGGGGCTTTCGAATTCGTCTGAATTCAGCAGCCGTGGTCCGTCCACTGCTGGACGAAGGCTTCCTCGCTCCGTGTGGGTCACCGTGGGCCGTCTGGTCGTACTCCTGGCCGGTCAGTGCGGCTTGGTGAAGCGAGTGGCCCAGGGATGAGCCCGCTCCTGATTTGGGAGCTTTGCCCGGGACTGGGACTCAGGTGGGAGAGTTCAAGTTTCATGTATTTGGTTAATTTGGTGTAGCCCTGTGAGCCGTGCAGCTCTTAAGTCGGATGCAACCGCAACAAACTAAATATGAACACAGAACATCTTAAAGCGACGACGCGGAACAGAAACATTCTGGAATAAACCAGCAAATATTCAAAATAAAAAGTATTAAAACGCTGTGTGCAAAAATCCCAATGTGGTGCAAGTCAACAATAACAACCATAAGACAATTTCAATTAACCATATGTTTTCGAATCACTCAGGTGGGAGAGTTCAAGTTTCATGTATTTGGTTAATTTGGTGTAGCCCTGTGAGCCGTGCAGCTCTTAAGTCGGATGCAACCGCAACAAACTAAATATGAACACAGAACATCTTAAAGCGACGACGCGTAACAGAAACATCCTGGAATAAACCAGCAAATATTCAAAATAAAAAGTATTAAAACACTGTGTGCAAAAATCCCAATGTGGTGCAAGTCAACAATAACAACCATAAGACAATTTCAATTAACCATATGTTTTCGAATCACTCAGGTGGGAGAGTTCACGTTTCATTTATTTGGTTTATTTGGTATGGCCCTGTGAGCCGTGCGGCTCTTAAGTCGGGTGCAACCGCAACAAACAAAATATGAACACAGAACATCTTAAAGCAACGACGCGGAACAGAAACATCCTGGAATAAACCAGCAAATATTAAAAAAAAAGTATTAAAACGCTGTGTGCAAAAATCCCAATGTAGTGCAAGTCAAACAATAATAACCATTCGACAATTTAGATTAAGCATATGTTTTCGAAATCACCAAAATAAAGCTATGAAAACAATGTAACAACAGTAATCATAGGAACTGATTCAAATTTAAAAATAAACGATGAACATAACGTGTACGACCAAACTTGCAGCCATAGCTGGCAGCATGACACTCCGCCTCGCACCCGCACACATCGCTCCGTCTCCGCGGTGGTTACACACTGAGTGTTGTCTGTGTTGTCTCTCTGCTTGTGTGTTTGTGTGTCTATGTTGTGTCTCTCTGTGTGTCTGTGTTGTGTCTCTGTGTGTCTATGTTGTGTCTCGGTGTGTCTATGTTGTGTCTCTCTATGTGTGTCTATGTTGTGTGTCTCTCTCTGTGTCTCTGTGTTGTCTCTGTGTGTCTATGTTGTGTCTCTCTCTGTGTGTCTATGTTGTGTGTCTGTGTTGTGTGTCTCTCTGTGTGTGTCTGTGTTGTGTCTCTGTGTGTCTATGTTGTGTGTCTCTCTCTCTGTGTGTCTGTGTTGTGTCTCTGTGTGTCTATGTTGTGTGTCTCTGTGTGTCTGTGTTGTCTCTCTCTGTTTGTGTGTCTGTCTGTGTGTCTATGTTGTGTCTCTGTGTGTTTATGCTGTGTATCTCTCTGTGTGTATGTTGGGTCTCTGTGTGTCTATGTTGTGTCTCTCTCTCTGTGTGTCTATGTTGGGTCTCTGTGTGTCTCTCTCTGTGTGTCTATGTTGGGTCTCTGTGTGTCTATGTTGTGTCTCTCTCTGTGTGTCTATGTTGGGTCTCTGTGTGTCTCTGTTGTCTCTCTCTGCTTGTATGTCTGTCTCTGTGTCTATGTTGTGTCTCTGTGTGTCTATGTTGTGTGTCTATGTTGTGTCTCTCTCTCTGTGTGTCTATGTTGTGTGTCTCTCTCTCTCTGTGTCTCTGTGTTGTCTCTGTGTGTCTCTCTCTCTCTGTGTCTCTGTGTGTCTATGTTGCATGTCTCTCTCTCTGTGTGTTTGTGTTGTCTCTCTCTGCTTGTGTGTCTTTCTGTGTGTCTATGTTGTGTGTCTCTCGCTGTGTGTCTGTGTTGTGTATCTGTGTGTCTATGTTGAGCTCTCTCCAACTTGTTTCAATGAGTTCTGTACCTGGCTCAAAGGCTTCATTGAATCAAATAGCAACAAGGGCAGTCTCATAAATGACTCGCCGAGACATTACGTGATTACAGTAGAAAAGAATGACCACTTCCAATTATGACTCGAGATTTAACACATTCCTGCGGAGGGAGCTGGTAGGAACGTTGGGTTGCTCGATCAATGGCCAGGGTCAACGGCGGCGTGGTGTATTCCGCAAATATGGTCGACTGTGAGGGTGGGCACAAGCCGGCGTGAGTAGGTTAAACGTTGAGTTTTATAAGGGCACCACGGGGTGACCAGCCCCTCCCCACCCAGCCCCACCCCCCCACCCAGCCCCAACCTCCCCACCCAGCCCCTCCCCACCCTCCCCTTTCCACCCAGCACCACCCCTCCCATTTTTGTATGCGCGACGGATGGACGGACACAATAATCCCCTGTGGGCTGGTGGAACCAGGTGGTTCCTACCAGTATGAAGTACTGCAGTGTGACTGATGGAAGAGGGCAGAATGCTGGGACAGGTCGTAAGAGACCTAGAGATTGGCAACCAATGGAAAATCTAAAACCATATGGTGCCTGGGATCTTCTTCCCTATGGGGGGGAGTTAATGAGCAACATTTAATGTCGAGGTTGGTGAGTGAGCTAGTGAACGGCTTCAGCCTAACAAATTTCCGAAATGCTGCCGGCAAATGTTCAAATTTAGACCGTGGCGTCGTCCTGTGGTTTGTAACGGGTGACTGACCACAGTCGCACTTCTGACATTATTTAATGTCCACCATCGTGTGTAGGAGATAGCTGCATCTGCCGTGCAATGTTCAAATGCGTACAACGATCCTCTCTCTTACCTATATAGCCTCTTGTTACAGCAGCCCTTTTGCCCACTTCAGCAAATTTTTCTTGCTGTGGTTATCCCACCTGATAATGGACCCTTGTGTTGCGCCAGAAACGTCGTGATTTATTTTATACCTATGTGACTTTACCGAAAGAACCAAAGAGTATGGATTCCTGCAGTCACGAAAGTTTCAAATCAAGATATAACGATCCTGTTAGAGTGGTCCGTTTAGGAAGTGATTAAGAGCTGCGATAGCTTCATCGGCACTGTTCTTGATCACCTCTCGAACTAAACAAGTGTGCCGCATGCGTTTTGTTATCTGCTGAGTAAAATGGTTTAATTGCTGTTGATTAACAGACGTTTATCGAGTGTGACTTGGATGGGGACGGATACCTGAGCCGGGAGGACTTCAAGGTGGCGGTGCTGTCACTCTGTGGGTACAAGCCGTCCAAGGTGCCTCGTTTGCGTGTGTTTGGGACAAAGCCTATATCATGGGACCTTTTTGTCAGTATCAAAGTAGGAAAAATAAGAATAGGTGTTACCCTTTCTGGCAATAAAACAGGAGTTGTGTGAAGATGTTCAAACACCAAATAGATGCCTTTTGCACGAAGTCAAGTCTGCATTAACCACACGTATTTGTGGTGAACATGCAAACAAACATGCTCTGATAACACTGGTCTAAAAATTTTTAGACGATGTCTGTTTCAGAGATGAAATGTGCTGTTTATTACGGATTTTACGTGCTGAATTCAAATATGACAATTAAACTGATTGGCTACTGTTCCCAAGATATTAAAGTTTTTACATTTTACGTCTCTATATATTGTGTAGATAGTAGAGTTTTACTCATAAATTGTAAACCTAGGTCTTGTCATGTGTTTATGGTTGCTTTACATGATAACATGTCACCTGTCCTGTTCATGTAACACTTGAAAAATCAGCAAAAGGGTTATATAAATGCAAATTATTATGAAACAAAAGGCAAGAAACTATTTTGTAAAACAAGTACATAGTTTAGTCCTTATTCAGTGTCTACTTCTTGGCTTGTCTCTTGTATTCATAAAATGGAGCATCTCTTATCACTGTACAGCAATAGTCTACAAGCATTGATAGGCTCCATTTGCCCTGATACTGTTTCCCCATTGTTGCAATGTCCTGGTGACATCTCTCGCCATGATCGTCGCTCACTGCTCCTCAGTTCGGTGGGAAAAAATCTCGATGAGAGTGCAAACATTTATCTTTAGTGACATGTTGCAACCAAGGCTTTTGTATGCCTTGAGGAGGTTTTCCACCAACTCCCTGTAGTTGTCTGCCTTGTTGTTTCCGAGCAAATGTGTTGCCACTAACTGGAAGGCATCCCATGCCGTCTTTTCCTTGCCACGCAGTGCACTGTCAAATGCATCATTTCGAAGAAGTTCACGAATCTGAGTACCAACAAAGACACCTTCCTTTATCTTAGCTTCACTTAACCTTGGACATTTTCCACGGAGGTACTTGAAAGCTGCTTGTGTTTTGTCCTTGGCTCTGACAAAGTTCTTCATCAGACCCAGCTTCATGTGTAAGGGTGTTAACAAAATCTTACTTTATTCAACAAGCGGTGGATGCTGAACACTTTTCCTCCAAAGCTCCAAGGACTGTCGGAGTGGCCAATCTATCTGGATGTCGTGGGAATCTCTCGCACGACTATCCCATTCACTGAGAAAACAGCGGTACGTTGTGTATCTAGTCTGAAGACCAAGCAAGAGAGCAACAACCTTCAATCGGCACAAAGCTGCCACTGATGTTGGTCATAGTTTATGCACCTCAAAAGTTGTTTCATGTTGTCATAGGTTTCCTTCATATGGACTGCATGATCATTATGCAGCAAAACAACGTAAAGACTCATCTTCGATTAATCGATTAACAGTCTCCACTCATCTGGATCATGAACGATGTTGAGGGCTGCCATCACACTATCGATGTTGTTGCAGGCTACATGATCACCTTTCATGAAGAAGAATGGAACGAGATCCTTTTGACGGTCACGAAACATGGAAACCCTAACATCACATGCCAGGAGATTCCACTGCTGCAGTCTGTAGCCCAACAGCTCTGCCTTACTCTTGGGTAGTTCCAAATCCCTGACAAGGTCTTTCAGTTCACCTTGTGTTATGAGGTGTGGTTCAGAGGAGGAGGATGGGAGAAAATCTTGGTCATGTGACCTTGATGGTTCAGGACCAGAAGTGTCATCCTCTTCTTCGTCTGACTCAAGTGAGAATGATTCTGGTGCATCAGGAACCGTCAGTCTTTCTCCGGGTGGTACTGGGCGTATAGCTGATGGAATGTTTGGATGATGCACGGTCCAATTATCTTTTCTTTGACACCTTTCCCAACTGGAAGTGTCATGCAGAAGTAACAATTGCTGATATGATCTATTTGCTCTCTCCAAATCATTGGCACTGCAAAAGGCATAGATTTCCTTTTCCTGTTCAACCACTGGCGAAGATTTGTTGCACACGTGTTGCAGCATGTGTGTGGGGCCCACATCTTGTCCTGATCTCCAATTTTGCAGCCAAAATAAAGGGGGTAGGCTTTCTTAACCATAGTGGTTATACTGTGCTTTTGTGATGCAAAAGTCACTTCACCACAAACATAGCAGAAGTTATCTGCTTTGTTCACACAAGTACGAGGCATCTCTGCTCACTTTGGCTAAACAGAAATGTGTTCCTTTGCACAATCAAACACTGACAAATAAGAGAGTATGACACTGTATGATTTATAGAGCTGATATAGAGCAATTTGTTCAGCAGAGGGGTATTAACCAGGTTCAGATTGCATCATTCATTGTTTTGCTCAAAAAGCAAGTACTGTTCAAACCCAGTCATAGATTTATTCATAGATCCAGTCAAAGATGTATTTTAGTCATTTCTGGTTTAAATTGAGTTCTCTTCCCTCTATAACTCCCTTATCCTCCACCATTCCCAAGTCAAGGGTTGTATATACTGACCCAATAGCATATCTTGAAAATTTGAGCCATTCAACAATTTTAAGCATCATTAAAAAAAAAATTCGATTTAAAGCTTTCGTGACTGCAGGGATTCATCTTCTTGGTTCTTTTGGTAAAGTCACGTAGAAGGGAAATAATACAAATAAAACATAATAAAATTCAATTCTCACGACGTTTCGGCCACAACGCAAGCAGCCGTCATTAGGTGAAGAACAGGTCTGTCGGAAAGACAGCGTCTGAATCCATTCAGACGCTGTCTTTTGTATTTTATTATGTTTTATTTTTATTATTTTATTATTTCCCTTCTACGTGACTTTACCGAAAGAACCAAGAAGATCATTTTCATTCTCAGTGACCCAGAATTAGTAAAGTTGGACTACATTTATTTCAGAAGCATTTTGGTTGTAGACCAGTGTAAGATATGCATTGTCTTTGAAACTGATTGGCCTACACCAGACACAGCAGCCTTCTTTATGGCCGACTCTCACCACTAGTGTCAGAGCAGAGCACAATACCAAAAGGCGAACAGTACAAAGACAATGCACTCATCAGAGCATTTATAGCTCAGGGTGAGCAGCTATATCATGGGATACATTTTTGCCAGTATCAGGATCAAGCCTCTTTGGGTCGTTGGGCTCAAGTCTGTGTGTGTATTCTAGTCTATCAGCCCAAATGTGTGATCCATCCTCCCTCTGGGTTCAATGAGGTGGTGAATATATGAACTGGTCCTAGACCTCTCCTTGGTCAATTTAACCTTAAAAGTGTATCTGGTGCAGTCTACCAAATATCAGCACTGGGGGTACAATGGTGGCTGGCCGTGATGCTGGCTACACCACACCCTAGTTGACTGTGCAGGACTTAATAGGTGTTCACTTTCAGAACTTGCCCCAACAGCGTGTGTTGCTATAGAAGATGTTTGTCTTGTGTCATCAAGCCTGTGTGTGTATGTGTGCGATGCCACCTGTGAATTAAATCCTGTGTGTGTATGAGATAATTATTATTGCTATGAGTTCCAGTAATACGTCATCATTTGTTTGCAGACTGAAACGGATCACCTGATGGCGTCTGTTAAGGAAAAAAATCTACCCGGTAAGCGCACACTTATAAAGCATGATTGTACCTGGTGCTCGTTAGAGTGTGTAAATCCAGCATTGCCACGAAGACAACATTGGCATAACCCTTTGCGCGTCTTTCCCGGTGCAGGGATGCCTTTTGATGAGTTCCGGAGAGCTGTCTCCACGAGGCTCGCGTCCGTGGACTTCGATGATGAAACTCGACGAATCTTCACGGCGTTCGACACTTGCTGTACGTCGACCCACAATTCCCGGCGTGTCCTCATGGCGACCAACTCTGGTTCAGAGCTGTGGGGTCTCTTGTCAGATGACAATGATGATGAGAGGCGTGCTTGAGCTTTTCAATGCAGAGATGTGATGATTCACCTGAGTGAATATCAAATTCAGTTTATGATCCAACCTGTGTGGTGTATGTGAATTACATAGTTATATAGTGGTATAAAAAAACCTTGAGACATAGCAACAATCCATCCAGCTCCTGTACACGAGCCAATTTCATCACTCCATCTCCGTGATGTACATCCTTTTGGCCGATAGTTTGCATTTTAATGTCCTAGCTAGGCTGTCAATTTGCAGCAGATGCAGATAAGTTATTTGTTCACGTCACATGCATAGTTACAATGAAATATGATAGTCTTATACTGTAAAGTGTGTGCACTACTTCATATATTCTTTGGATCTTTCGGTAAAGTCACGTAGATCACAACACAAGCGATCGTCATCAGGAGGAAACAGGGGGCAAGGCCACTGAAGGCGAGTTATTTTTAAAGGTTTAAAAATGGGCGTGACACAAGCGTCCTGGTATCAAGTGGTCAGAGAGCGCCATGGTGCGGTACGAGAAGTTCCAAGAAAGACACGGAAGGTGACAAGAAAGAAACATCGCAACCAGTCATGACTTAGTGGTTGATGACGTCCATGAGTACAAACTCAGAAATCATTGGAAGGACGTTGTCAACCTGTTTTGTCATGACTGGTTGCGATGTTTCTTTCTTGTCACCTTCCGTGTCTTTCTTGGAACTTCTCGTACCGCACACATGGTGCTCTCTACCCCGCCCACTTCGTTCTGATACCAGGATGCTTGTGCCAGGCCCATTTTTAAACCTTTAAAATGAACTCGCCTTCCCTCCTTTTTATTACATGCTTTTATTTAACTCACTCCGTCTGTTGTCGTATCCTCAAAAAATATTGTAACTTAATTTTTACCCACTACTTAATGTGCTATCGACTGCAAACTTTAAATACCTATGTCATACTGATGACAAGACTATATTCTATCATAAAAAATCTAAAACATTTTAAAACATTTTACACTATTTTATTTAACTCACTCTGTTGTATCCTCAAATCTTGTAACTCAATTTCAGCCGTCTTCCCAATGTCGTATCGACTGCAAACTTGGTGTTGGTATGTCATACTGATGACAAGACAATATTCTATCATTAAAAATGTAAAATATATATTTTTAAACAATCATTTTTACGGGTCTAATTGTCCACGCTCAACTCACGTTGCCTGTAAATCACCACGATCCCTTACGTCACGGCAAGCTTCGGGGAGCCACGCCGAGGGTCGGAGGATGTGGAAGGAGGGGAGGGGCGATGGGGGAAGGGAGCAGGGGGAGGGGCAGCTCGGACAGTACATTTCATTAAAGCGTGTTTTAAAAAAAAGTGTTTAAAAATATGTTTTCCTCCTGATGAAGATTGCTTGTGTTGTGATCGAAACCTCGTAGTTTTTATTTACTTTTATTTTTTCTATCTACGTGACTTTACCGAAAGACCCAAGGAATATGAATTCCTTCAGTCATGAAAGTTTTAAGTCATTACTTAATATATTGCATCACCAGTGTTGTCCTTTGGCAATAAAGCCATCGTCATAGTTCACGTTTGGCCGGCGATCCCTATTGTGCAAGTTGATTGCAGTAAGCTGGCATGGCTATGTTAGGGTGCACACGTGTGTTTTTTTATAGGGCTGCCCAGTGTGTTGTTGTGCGTAGCATTAGGGTCAATTGTTTTATCACATAAGGCCCACTGAATGATATAGTTATTTTTCAGAAGCGACCTGGCCACAAATGATAGTGGCTTATTGCGTGAAAATGTATAACAGCCACTTACTCTGAAAACATGTTTCTAAATGTGGAGAGAAAAATCGAAGGACCCGTAGAAAAATCCACACGACCACGGGGAGAACATGCAAACTCCAGATATGCAGGTGTCGGGGTTGGGATCGAACCCACAACCTCCTCTAGACCAAGCGAGGTAGTTAACATCTCGCCACCGTGGCGAGATGTTAACCGATGGAAAATTAAATCGAGCCCACGGTGTGACTGTGGTGACTTACGTCACCATTCTCAAACTATGTACCACACAGTCTCGCCACTGCCCACTTCCATCACTTCAGTCAGTATATCTCTAAATAGGTCTCTGTGCGAGCCTTTTGGTCTCTACTACGAAAAATAAAGAACCTCGGTTGCGTTCGCAGAGCTGCGTGTGTTCAGCTCTGAGAGATGGCTGTGCTGTCGTGTGTCAGGCCGTGGGTTTTTGACGGTGGAGGACTTCAGGAAGGCCTTCTCTCTCGTCGCCCCACACCTCTCGGGGCAAACCATCCATGAGACGTTCCGGTGAGCCTTCCTCTTCCATTGCCATTACAAAAGCCCACAATGACAAATAATACTGGTAGGAACCTCCTGGTTACACCAGCCCACAGGGGATTATTGTGTCCGTCCGTCGTGCATCCAAAAATGGGAGGGGTGGGGCTGGGTGGAGAGGGGAGGGTGGGGAGGGGCTGGGTGGGGAGGGGAGGGTGGGGAGGGGCTGGGTGGGGAGGGTGGGGAGGGGAGTTTGGGGCTGGGTGGGGAGGGGCTGGTCACCCCGTGGTGCCCTTATAAAACTCAACGTTTAACCTACTCACGCCGGCTTGTGCCCGTCCCTCAGCTGGCCATATTAGCGGAATACACCACGCCGCCGTTGACCCTGGCCATTGACCGAGCAACCCAACGTTCCTACCAGCTCCCTCCGCAAGGAATGTGTTATTCCTCACTGCATGTGGCGGGGTGATTTAGAGGTCCGAATGCTGAGCTGGCACCACTGAGGTCCTAGGTTTGAATCGAGGCAGCCGCCTGTAATTAAACCGGGTTCTCAAGCGTCGTTAGTTGATGAAACTCGTGCACAAGTGGAAAATCGGAGACACTCCTGTGTCTGATTCACTAACTCTGAGACAAACAAAAAATGTAACGAATAAATCACTTACAATTGAATCTCTTCACAGGCCATACTAAAGAAGGTCCCACATTACCTATGATTTGGTTCGTACTTAATCAATTAACTGGATTTCCTGTTCAAGTCCAAGCTCAAGACCATCCTCTGTTCCCTCTGCCGATGTCTGATTGCCTCTCTTCAAAATAAATACGCCCAGCGCTTTGAGACGGCGTTGTGGTATGTGACCGTACTCAAGGTGCCGCTATTTGAACCCGCGCTGTGTTTTGCAGAGAGACCGACCGGGATCTAGACGGGCGCGTGAGCTACAGGGACTTTGAGACCGCGATGGCTGCGCGTCGTGGCTGCAGGTGACGGCCGCCGCACCGTTCTTGTAAGTCTCCGAGGGCCGGCCTTTGCTACCCGCCCGAAGCTTGACAGCCGCAAAGGCTGACCGGAGATTGTTGCTGTGAATGCCAGCCTCAGCTTCGTCCGTGATGTCGCTGCGATGCTTCCCATGGTCCGCCTTCGACGTAGCCAGTCTGCCTTTTCCACTCGGTCACCACCCAAGATGGGCAGACGGGCTTCTATTGCAGGGTGCTAAATGTTTCTGCCGATAACCAGGGCTGATGCGGTGATCTTGCCGCTCATTTATTTTTTAAGGTTAGTGCCCTAGGTCAGTAAATCTTTGATTTCGTCATCATAATCCAAACAGGAAATCACAACCGTGGATCTGCCTTTGTCAGGAGCTAAAAGGATAATGCCTTTCTTTGATCTCGATTCTCCTAGAGCCTTTGCCTCAGTCAAAGTCATTTGTTTTTGGTAAGTCGTCCCTCGTTATACGGCAACTAAAAATGCGGAATTTCACTACGTAACTTATAACTTGGGCAGTTAATGCGATATACTTTACGTTCAATTCGCATTTACACAAATTTTTATCTAGATTTTTTTATAGGGTAAAATAGAGCAATGCCTACGTGTTAATTGTAGGCGCAAGGCGTATGAACAATTTGCCTCGCAATTCAATGAATGGCCACGTCACCATCATCATCATGAGGCATAGCGGTCTTCGTGAGACGCCGCCAGGGGATACTATCCTGTGCTCGCCGCCACACTGTATCCAGGCCAAGGCAATGGTGGTGAAGATCAGCCTCGATCGTACGTGTCCATGTCCGCCACGGCCTGTGCCGGGTTCATCTTCAATCCCGTGGTGGGCCGTCGATTGTCACGCGCAGGGCTCTGGTGCGATCTGCTGAGGTGTCCGACCGAAACAAAGTGTCCGACAAACCAAAGTGGTCTGTTTCTGACTGTCAACACACCAGTGGGCACCCCTGTCTGAAGGCGGGCCTGGGCCTTGGTGTTGGTGATGTTCTCGCCGAAGTGAACGTGGAGAATCCGTCACAGGCACCGCCGGTCGCAGGCGTCCAGCTTCCAGCTGAGTGGCGCTGTCGTTGACCGCGTTTCTGAGCCGTACGGCAGTATGGGAAGGATGTGCACGTCGTAGAGGCGGATCTTTGCTGCTGTTATGTTGGAGCACCAGACGTATCTTTTGAGCTGTTTCTTACGCTCACGTGTAATTGAGATTCTCCTTTTAATTTCGGCCTCGCATCTTCCAGTATATTGCAAATTATAGTTGAGATAAGTGAACGTTTTACTACTTCAACATGATTGCCCGCTATTTGCTCTTCAATCCAGTCGAGTGGCTGCTCATGAGTGGTCTATATTTTGGTTTTATTTACAGTCCAACTGGGAGGATTTCACTATGCATGATCTCCAGTGCTAGCCAGAAACCTTCAAGCATTCAGCTGGCAAGGCACACATTGTCTGTCGAATCACCTCGTTGCCTTAGATCAGAGGTCGTAAACGGGTTTTGATTCCTTACCCGTACCCGGCCGCACCAGGGTCGCAAATGGCTACCCGTACCCAGCCGGGTACGGGTAGCCGTTCCCTACCCGTACCGTACCCAAAATGAGTGACAAACGTCTACTCACCAGTGACTCACGGCCTACCCGTACCCGTACCCGGCCGCACCAGGGTCGCAAACGGTCTACCTGTACCCGGCCGAGTACGGATGCCGGGTATCGGGTAGGGTACGGGTATCGGGTACCCGGTTGCGACCTCTGCCTTAGATTGCTCCCAGCAGGCCTTTTGTGAACCGACGCTGCACGATCCAGTCCATTGGGGCGAGGGACAGGTTCTGGAGCAGTGGCGCCGCCTTGCCTTCGAGGGCACGGGAACACTCTCACCTTGTTTGTGAGAGATCAGCGTGATGATGCGGTCGATGTGATACTGCTCTGTTCCCTATTCTTGGTTCTTTCGGTAAAGTCACGTAGAAGGGAAATAATAAAATGTAAAAATTTTAAAACAATATTATTTAAACATTAGTTAATTGTTTTATTATTATTTTATTATTTCCCTTCTACTTGACTTTACTGAAAGAACCAAGAATATGAATCCATGCAGTCACGAAAGCTTTAAATCAAAATTTGCTTTGTTCCCTGTCGCGTACAGTAGTCCCTCGGTTAACGTTTTAATCTGTTCCGCCAAAACTACTGTTAACCGAAATAACTGTTCATCGAATTCACTAATAAGTTGAAAAAAATTTGTAAGAATCATTGAGATCTGCAAGAGAGCTGTTTTCACTGCCAAAACAGAAAACAGTGTAACAAATTTCGATTTAAAGCTTTCGTGACTGCAGGGATTCATATTCTTGGTTCTTTCGGTAAAGTCACGTAGATGGGAAATAATAAAATAATAAAAATTTCACATGGAAAATAATCAAATATAATTTTTTATATAATATACAAAAAATGTATTATGTTATATTTTTATTATTTTATAATACCCTTCTACGTACCTTTACCGAAAGAACCAAGAAATGTAAACAAAGCCAGTCGAGTTCAAAACGCTCATAAATCGGCTCGATCCACTTACGAGCGATCGAATTTGCCGAAATTGGTGCCCGCGTGCGTAACGTGAACATACCGTGAATCAAAATGTTAACGTCAGTTGAAACCATGGGGTCTTGTGGGAGGCGAAACGTTAGGGGCCGTCCATAAATGACGTCACGCGATTTTGTACGATTTTTGACCCCCCCCCCCCGTCACACGGCGTCACAAAAACTCAGACCCCCCCCCCCTCAAATATGACGTCACAAATCTCTGCCCCCCCCCCAAACCATATTTCTATTTTAAAATAAAACATGCTTCAAATCGCTTTAAACTATTGTCATTGTAGTGCGTATTTAATGTGGCGCTGCACTCTGATGTTGTAGGAGAAAACATTTATTAAAAGTCTATTTAATTAAGTCGAACGTGTTGTCTATGTATTTAAAGTTGCGTATTTTGATGTGACGTCACATTTCTCAAACCCCCCCCCCCCTCGTCACACATCGTCACAAATGTCTGACCCCCCTCCTAGTTGCGTGACGTCATTTATGAACGGCCCCTTAACCGAAAAACCGTTAACCGATGTCACCGTTTACCGAGGGACTACTATACTTCTAAAAGGTTGCGTGCAATTGATTTTTTTAAAGATCGTTGTGATAACGACGTTGAAGTGGCTGTAGGGGAACAATTGAACCGACTGCATATATCAGAATCGACATTTTTACACGATTTTACACGTATTGCTACTAATTGAATCGCAGTGCATTGTTGTAACTACTCGGAAAATCCTAGTCATTGTGATGTGTACAATTTATACGTATGAATAAACACAATTCAACTCAAAAGTCCTTTGTGATGGGAGTGGCAATTTTTTTTTCAAATAGAAAATTGTAACTGTGATATATTATTGCAATTCAAAGTTAGCATTTGCTCATCAGCTGTTGGCGTGTGCAGTTTCCCGCGTGTCTCGAGGCTGAGGCATCCCATGGTCTACCCACTGCTGGATGAGTGCCCTCCCCACGCCATGCTGAAGTGGCTCCACGTTGGGTCGTCGGTACGAGGTGCTGGAGCACAGAGACGTGGGGGTGAGATGGGCCGGTTGTGCTGCAGTGCCATCTGTTGACCACCGCGTTGCACCCGTGCCAGCCACATTGGCAATCTGCAATACAACCGATGATCAATCTTGATTTGAAGTTTTCGTGACTGCAGGAATCCATAGTCTTTGATTCTTTCGGTAAAGTCACGTAGGTAGAAAATAAAATAAATCACGACGTTTCGGGCGCAACACATGCGTCCGTCATCAGGTGGGAAAGCACGGTCTGCTGCTGAAGCAGACTTTTAAAAAAAGGTCAAAGTAGTGGCCGGGGCTAGTGATGTTAATGTGAGAAATTAGCATGATGTTAATGTGAGAAATTAGCATGATGTTAATGTGAGAGATTAGCGTGATGTTAATGTGAGAGATTAGCGTGATGTTAATGTGAGAGATTAGCATGATGTTAATGTGAGAGATTAGCATGATGTTAATGTGAGAGATTAGCGTGATGTTAATGTGAGAAATTAGCATGATGTTAATGTGAGAGATTAGCGTGATGTTAATGTGAGAAATTAGCATGATGTTAATGTGAGAGATTAGCATGATGTTAATGTGAGAGATTAGCGTGATGTTAATGTGAGAGATTAGCATGATGTTAATGTGAGAGATTAGCATGATGTTAATGTGAGAGATTAGCGTGATGTTAATGTGAGAAATTAGCATGATGTTAATGTGAGAGATTAGCATGATGTTAATGTGAGAGATTAGCGTGATGTTAATGTGAGAAATTAGCATGATGTTAATGTGAGAGATTAGCGTGATGTTAATGTGAGAAATTAGCATGATGTTAATGTGAGAGATTAGCATGATGTTAATGTGAGAGATTAGCGTGATGTTAATGTGAGAGATTAGCATGATGTTAATGTGAGAGATTAGCATGATGTTAATGTGAGAGATTAGCGTGATGTTAATGTGAGAAATTAGCATGATGTTAATGTGAGAGATTAGCGTGATGTTAATGTGAGAGATTAGCGTGATGTTAATGTGAGAAATTAGCATAATGTTAATGTGAGAAATTAGCATGATGTTAATGTGAGAGATTAGCGTGATGTTAATGTGAGAGATTAGCGTGATGTTAATGTGAGAAATTAGCATGATGTTAATGTGAGAAATTAGCATGATGTTAATGTGAGAAATTAGCATGATGTTAATGTGAGAAATTAGCATGATGTTAATGTGAGAGATTAGCATGATGTTAATGTAAGAGATTAGCGTTATGTTAATGTAAGAGATTAGCGTGATGTTAATGTAAGAGATTAGCGTGATGTTAATGTGAGAAATTAGCATGATGTTAATGTGAGAAATTAGCATGATGTTAATGTGAGAAATTAGCATGATGTTAATGTGAGAGATTAGCATGATGTTAATGTGAGAAATTAGCATGATGTTAATGTGAGAGATTAGCGTGATGTTAATGTGAGAAATTAGCATGATGTTAATGTGAGAAATTAGCATGATGTTAATGTGAGAGATTAGCGTGATGTTAATGTGAGAGATTAGCGTGATGTTAATGTGAGAAATTAGCATGATGTTAATGTGAGAAATTAGCATGATGTTAATGTGAGAGATTAGCGTGATGTTAATGTGAGAAATTAGCATGATGTTAATGTGAGAGATTAGCATGATGTTAATGTGAGAGATTAGCGTGATGTTAATGTGAGAGATTAGCATGATGTTAATGTGAGAGATTAGCATGATGTTAATGTGAGAGATTAGCGTGATGTTAATGTGAGAAATTAGCATGATGTTAATGTGAGAGATTAGCGTGATGTTAATGTGAGAGATTAGCGTGATGTTAATGTGAGAAATTAGCATGATGTTAATGTGAGAAATTAGCATGATGTTAATGTGAGAGATTAGCGTGATGTTAATGTGAGAGATTAGCGTGATGTTAATGTGAGAGATTAGCATGTAACTGTAAGATTGGAGGAGAGCGGCCTCCTCGACGAGGGAGTGCAACCCAACGGGTGCAATGCAAAGGACATGTGAGCCATGAGAGATCTAAGAGAGAGACATAGAAAGAGAGACAGAGAGTCGGAAGTAACAGCCGACATAGGCAGGTAGGATGAAAACCGATGATCTGTTTTTGAATTCGGCTACGTGGTAGTTTTATGTGAACCTTCTTTTTCTCAATAACCCCCCCCCCCCACCCGACAATATTTTCACGTTTACAAAGATATTGTTTTGTTACTCGTCCATAAATGACGTCACGCGATTTTGGACGATTTTTGACCCCCCCCCCCCCCTTCGTCACACGGCGTCACAAAAAGTCAGATCCCCCCCCCGTCAAATATGACGTCACACAGTCAGACCCCCCCCCCCAAAAAAAAAAACATGCTTCAAATCGCTTTAAACTATTGTCATTGGAGTGCGCATTTAATGTGGCGCGTCATATTTGAGGGGGGGGTCTGACTTTTTGTGACGCCGTGCGACGAGGGGGGGGGTTCAAAAATCGTCCAAAATTGCGTGACGTCATTTATGGACGGCCCCTAAAGGTGACAGCCCCTGGTTCGATCCCGCATCAGGTAACGTAGCCCTTCCCTCCACGCAAATAAGGTCGGAATCATCCCGCCTTCATCCCGCCTTCAGGTACAATAGTCCCCGCCTCCAGCCCACACAAGCCGTCGTGACCCCGCCCCTCGCCATATAGCCACTCCTACTGCCCATATAAGGGCCTCGTGACCCCTTCCTTCGCCATAAAGCCCCTCCCACGACCCATATAAGGCCCCCGTGGCCACGCCCCTCGCCGTATAGCCCCTCCCACGACCCATATAAGGGCCTCGTGGCCACGCCCCTCGCCGTATAGCCCCCCCCACGACCCATATAAGGCCCGTGGCCACGCCCCTCGCCGTATAGCCCCTCCCACGACCCATATAAGGCCCCGTGGCCACGCTCCTCGCCGTATAGCTCCTCCCACGACCCATATAAGGGCATCGTGGCCACGCCCCTCGCCGTATAGCCCCTTCCACGACCCATATAAGGGCCTCGTGGCCACGCCCCTCATCGTATAGCTCCTCCCACGACCCATATAAGGGCCCCGTGGCCACGCCCCTCTTCCACTTGTAAGCCCCCGCACCCTCCCCCCGGTCTTTCTTTGCCCCGCCCCCCTCCCAGTCCAAGATGTCGGCGCAGGGAGAAGTCGAGGATTCGGCTACTGAGGATCAACGCGTGGCGCTGCGCAATGGGGAGGTATGGCGACTCCCGGCAGCGTGCGGCTCCAGCTCCCCCCGTAGCCACGGCTCCTGCCACGGCTCCGTCTGGCTCCGTCTGGCTCCCTTGTCACGGCGGCTCCCCCCCCCGGTGGGGTTGTCGTTGCTCGGGCCTAGACAATGCGGCCTCATGAGGGCCGGCCTCTCTCGTCACACGATGTGCGCTGTTGAGTGTTGAGTGGGGTCACGGGACTGGCGTCTGTGCCCTCGTCTAGCGGTGATCGTGGCCGGTGGCGAGACTAAGGGATTTCCCCCCCTCCCCACCCCATTAACTCTTGTGCTGATCACGGTTCAAGTCTGCCGTTGACACGAACGGCCATGACCCAGCAGTGGAGTGAGCATGGCGTGATGGTGACGTGAATGGGGGTTGGGGGGTGGTGATGTTTGGGATTTGTTTGAGATGCGTGCGGCATTGCGGTGGATGGCAACAGCTTAAAGGGAGGCCTCCAATCCAGCAGTGGACTCGTGGCTTAGTCTTTCGTTGGAAATCGGTCATGATCGATTCACTGCTGGATTGATCCGGGGCTTAGTCTGTCACTTGACAAGTCACGATCAATCCAGCCTTCCGGGATTGATCATGGATTTGTCAATGCCAGACAGAGCGATTTCCCTAAACTTGCACTGAAAAGTGTAGCATCGTTCGTGAACGGTGGCTACAGCTTGGAGAGGCCTTCATCCAGCAGTGGAATGATGGTGGCTGCTGCTGATGATGATTGTGAATTAAGGGAAATCGCACCCCTAACTCGCAGCTCTGTGAGGGGCTAACACCCCACTCAAATACCGGCATCGCACGCCGCCGGCATGCACAGATGGGTCAGAACCCACTTGCTGTACTGCCATCGCCCTGGTCACTGAGCAGGCGTGGTTCACAATGGACAGCGCGCGGGCACCGTTACCAATTGCAAACGGAGCCCACAGCTCTGCGTGGGGAGCAGTGGTGCAGTGCCTCAGTCATATTGGGCCCCTTTTTGTGTCTCTGTCCCCACCCCCCGCCGCGTCCCGACCACGCCGGTCAACGCGTCTTTGGTGAAGGTGGGGGTCGGGGGGGGCGCATAGAAGTATGGGACAACAATGCTGCACCGCCCTCTGCTGTCTACAACCTCGCGGCAGCTCCCACAGCATCCTGTTAGTCACGGCGGTCACCTGCAGTAATACAACAAGCCATTGGCCACAGGCTCAATCCGGCTTACCTTGCAATGGAATGGTTCCGGGCTTTTTGCACCATTTTTTGCACCATTTTACAAAAGGTCTCCATCACGAGGACGTCGTTGGGGATTCTGGGCGTCTTGTGTCGAACGGCCCTGGTTGACCGCCACCGACGGGGGATGTGGGACAGCCCAGGGTCACCGGTCGTTGCCGGACCGCGAATCGGGATTTTAGCATTTCAAGTTACGAGGACAGTCGAACATCGCATATCGGACCCGTCGCAGGTCCTGACCCTGAGCAATTTATTGTCCACCGACTACCCAATGCGGTGTGTACGCAACGGTGCAACAACTCTCTTTTCCCCCAAATCAATAGACGTCCGCGGGGCCGGGTGAGTGAC